TTTCTCGTTGTTGATCTCATAAATGTCCAATAAAAAACTTGTGATTTGCATTTTTAAAATAAGTGGTAAGCTGGATTGCATGATCAATTGATGTCTTGAACTCAGAAGATTCTTTGAAAATCTTTCCAACGCAAAGGTTTAGTTAGTAAGCAAAACATGGCAAGAATACAATTGATCTATTGGATATTCTTAATCGACGCTTAATAATAGATAGAAAAATAAATAAACTTAGTAATTAAAAAGAATAAATAAATTTTAATATACTGAGCTGCTGCATATGCTAATGCATTATCAGTAACAATAGCACAAACAGTAATTTCTTTTTTCTTTAAATCTTCAAGCATTGTTTCAGTTTTATTCATTACTCTAATATAATTCTTACGCTCAGAACTTATATCTACTGCTTTTCAAACATAAGGTTTTCCTTCTAAAGTTAATAAGACTGTTCCTAATAACTATTTATTATTGACATTGGTCCAACCATCAAAAGTAATAGTCACACCTACAGGATCTTCTATAAGTGTAGTTTCTATAGCATCATTTAATTTCATAACAACTTTATTTAAAATATCACCACCAAGAACACGATGATCAGGTAATTTAAGAAAAGGATTTAAAAATTCAAATAATTCCTTTGCTTTAGGTTTATTGACCCATGATAATACCCATTCACAAGAAACTGTAAGTCGAAGTAATAACATGTAGAATTTCTTCAAATCTTCTTTAGATAGACTTTGGACAATAAAATTATTCACAGGTCTATAATATGAAGACCAGTTGATTATTTTATGAGATGATAGATGTGATGATTGTTGTGATGATATAGAATTTAAAATAATATTATAAGTTTATAACAATAAATTTTATTTAAGCAATATAGTTATATAAATATAAAATTAAAATTAAAATACTTACTTGATCTTTTATTAGGAATTAAGCTTAGAACAGTATTATCATTAGTATTTGCTTCTTTACTTCGTAAAAATGCAAAGACTACCGCTCGTTCTTCTTCATTTGTTTTAGCAAAAAAATGAGAACACTTTTTAAAATGTTGAATAATTCAATCTGTTTTGTTTAGAAATGAAATCTTACGTCTCTCTTCTTCTCTAAGTGCTTCTATGCATGCTTTGCAGAAGGTTTTGAGATTACTTTTATTCACCTTTTCATCCGTTTTAACAATATATTTAGTTAATAAAAAGGGAAACAGCATATTTAAAAATTTTTTTTTTGTGGCTTAGCGCAGACCGGCAGACGTCCTAGATAATCCTTGAAAAATCGTGAACATGTTCTACTTAACAATAGTAATATAGAACATGTAATCAGACGAAAATTCTGGACATGTCTTGAAATATCCGTATCCACCCGATTTTGGTAGACAATGTCTGCTGTACAACACTGCCTATATGATAGATTTTGAAAATTTCAAAATCAGATCACACATATAGCAAAAGCAAAGATAAAACACCAAACTATTTGAAGGCCAAATCCAAATCAAAAAAAAAAATTTTCTTCTGATTAGACGCAATATAAAGGTTTAAAACTTTAAATGCAATTATTATAAATCAAGATTATTGAAATATTAGAAGATCATGCAAGAGGCATGACAGGCCTTATGACTAATTTTATCAGTCTTGAGTATCAATATGATTGGTCTATAAGGGAAACATAGCTAATTTCACATCAAAGAAGAAGCAGATCCTTTACCAAGGTTACCGTCAAGTCTCCATACTTTCAGCTTGGTAGCGAAATGTGGCAAATTGCTAAATCTCTGCTTATTATCAACTAGTAATTAAACTTACTTTCAGCTATGCCCTAACTTACATTCTTTCCTACCCGTTTGCTATTTAATAAAAAAAAATGTATATACAGACAGCAATCAAAATTATCCAGTCACTTTTCAAATTGAAAAAATGTTATATATTAAATATAATAAAAATTAAATTTTATGATAAATGTTTTTTTATAACTTAGTTTATTAATTTATAAAAAAATTTAATAATGAATTCTATTTCTATTTGCAGAAATAACCGTCTCAATCCTTCGAGGCATACTATCAATTAATTTTTTAAAATATTCTGGAGGAATATCATTCTATGCATCTTTGACATACTTTTCTAGAACTTTAATATTAGATGGTGGTAGAGTATGTTGATGAACTATCATTTTCATCTCTGCCTAAAGGTTCTCAATTGGATTAAGATCAGGACTTTAAGCTAGTCAATTAAGCATTAAGCAATTATATAATTTAAATGTTCACAATTATAACCATATATAATTGCATCACGTGTTTTTAGGATAAGTGGCTTCATTTTTTTAAAAGGTTCTAGAAAAAAATGAAGTTAGAAATATGTTTATCAGAACTATAAGTATAAAATCATGTGTTATTTATATTACATTAATGTGTAATAATCTACATAATTTTAGCAAAATAAACTGGTTGAATAATTTTGATCACCGCCTGTATATATTATTAATAAAATAAAAATATATATATATATATATATATCACTTCCTTGCTGTTTCTAAATAACATAAAAAAAATATTAAATGTTAATAATGTTTGTCACTAAACAGTATTTTTTTTGTTTTGTTTTGTTTTATTAATATGAGTTGTTATTTGTCATAAAAAGAAAAGAAGCTCAAAACTTTTGATATATAATATATATAAGTAGTGACGTTTATAAAGATCATTTCTATATAGAGATATTAAAGTCTATGACCAGACTGATCTGACTCTGGTTGATCATAGAACTGGTTTCAGTATCAAATCGAACTAAAACTGAACTGAGTTAAACTAGTATTTAGATCAGTTTAGACAATCAATCTATATAAATGTTATGTTATGTAAATTATAAGATGTATTAATCATTTTAACTAGAATAATTTTCATTTTGCATTATTGTTTGTATTATACAATGTTTGGCAACATATTTTCAAATAAAAATAATGACATTTTCTCAGATGTTTTTTCAACTTCTTTAGCAATTGAAGAAGATTCTAATATAACAATTCACAAGTCAGATGTATAGGAATTTTTTTTAAAGTCCAAGATGAAGAAACTAAACTAACAATAAGTTATAAATGCATATTATATGTTAAAATTTATTCACCTGACAATCTAACAATCACCCTTCAAAAATATTTAACTAAAAAACATTCATTTCATTATAAAAAAATTGAAAATCATCAAATTATTTTAATGAAATGCACTTAAAATCCTATTCTTTATCACAATCCAATTCTATCACAAATTTATTGATTGATTTTATTGCAACTGATTTATAACCTTTTTCTATTATTGAAAATACTGAATTCAAATTATTTGTTAATAAATTGAATCTTTAATTTATTTTACCATGTAGACAAACTTTAAAAGAAAAATTTGTAAAAAATTATAATATAAAAAGAAATGATTTATAGACGAAATTTCATAAATTAATTCAAAAATATCTCTCATAATAGACATATGGACATTAGATCTAAAAGATTGTTATCTTAGAATAATAATTCATTATATTAATAATAATTGGAAATTAAAGAATCTTTTGCTTGATATAATTCCTATAAATAGTTCTCATAGAGCTGAATTAATTACAAACAAACTTTCATAAATTTTTGAAGAATTTAATATTAGTTAGAATATTCTTGCTATGACAACAGATAATGGAAGCAATATGATAACATGTGGTAATCAATTAGCAACTGAATTAGATCAAGAATTTAATAATATGTCTTTTATTTATTTTTGATGTACTGCTCATATTATCAACTTGGCAATAAAAGCTGAAATGAAATATGTAGGAGATAAAATCAAAAAACTTCATCAATTTATTGTTAAATTAAAAAATTCATTACTATTATTGAATAAATTATTAGAAATTTGTATTATTAGAAAGGTTAAATTTCTAAAGCTAATTTTAGATATAGATATGTGTTGGAATTTTACATATTTGATGATTATTAGACAAACTTTAATGCAGAATATTTCTGAATTACTTGTAACAATAATTCCTAAAGATCTTGATAATCTTTTTCCAACAATTTCTGAATAAAGTCATATTAAAGTACTTATTATTTATTATTTTATTATTATAATTAATTAATTATTATTTATTTATTTTATACTTATTATTTATTTTAGGAATTATCATTAATTTTACAACCTATATATGAAATAACACAGTTATTATCATCATCATTAAATCCTATATAAGGTGATATTAGATTGGTTTTTGTTAGAATATTTAAAAAATTAAATTAATATCAAAGAAGAAGTCATCATACACAAAAAAAATAGCATTAGATATTTACAACAAATTAAAAAAATATTGGGATGATCATTTAAATTCCACTTATACAATTTCTTCAATATTAAATCTGCGTTACAAAATTACATATTTGAAAATAATAACTTAGTTGGAATTATTAATAATTTATAAGAATTATATAATACATATTCTTCCTTAAATAATCAAATAAATTTAAAAAAAAAGTTATCATTTCGGGATTACTTTCTTAATTTACTTAATCAAAATAATTATCAAAGAATGACATGTAATGAATTAAATAGATATCTAAATTCTCTAATAGATAGTAGTGTCAATCCTTTAATTTAGTGAAAAGTTCATAAAAAAGATTATCCTATATTGTCTCAAATAGCTAAGGATTATCTATAAATTCAAACGACGTCAATTCTATCAGAAAGAACCTTTTCAATTTTAAGCTTAACTATCTCAAAAGTTAAAAATAAATTAAATTCTGAAATAGCAAGAGTAATTATTTGTATGAAGCATTAGATTTCAGAAAAAAGGATTGTAAAAAATATATAAATTTATATTAAAATTGTGAGGATAGATAATAAGGCGAAATAATTTATAGTGATATCTAAGAGAAGTTGTTACTTATGTAAATTATTTATTAGATTTGTAAACAAAAAAGAATATAAGATCTTTACTTCTGAAGTACATAAGAAATTATACTCTAAATGGTTACTTCCAAAAATGAAAGATCCTGATCTTAGAACTGAATCTTTGAATTATATGATAAAACAACTTGATCAGGTTATTAATGAAGAAATAGCAAAATATGTTAGCATAATGGTGAGGTCTGATAGTGATAGAGAAAGTGTAAAGTCTAGTACTAATCCTAATATTCGTAAAAAGGTGGTAGCTTGATTAAAGCTAAAAACTTCAAGTGTAAAATTTGAATCCATTTTAGTTTACTATAACTTTATTTTCATATTTACATATATTTTATCTTTACAATTTATTCTTCCATGCTACTTCACCAATTTGACAAAGCTTAATTAACAAATTTGTTATTATATAATGAGATTTATTAATAAAGTACATATTCAATAAGAATTTTAAGCATTGTAATAAAACAAAAATGAATATCAAATTAAATATCGAAGTAGTAGTTATTTCAAGAGAGAAAGTCTAACCCTCTACCTAATACTAATTTTTTGCTTATATAATATTCTTCTATAACTTTCAAAGTAAATTAACTAATTTCTAATACAAGTATTCCATTCTTATACCTATGATAATATAAATATTGATATTATGCAAAATTTTGATACACACAACGTCTCACTCTGCCTCACATTTATTTATCAAATTCTGAATCAATAACTAAGAAATATTAGTTTATTCATTAGGAAAATAAATAGAAAAGTTAGCTCATATTTTTGAATATATATATTACACATTATAGATGTAACAGTGAAGAATCTTCACAATCAAAAATTACGTGAGTGTTTAGGTTAAAATTAAGAATAAACTTTTTTGAAGACATTCACTTGAACACTTTTGCAATTTTTTCTCAGCAGCAGATTTATCTTTATATAATCCCAAGTTAAGGTAATATAATTCACGCAGTGGTTATAAAAACTGTGATATTTTATCATGATTAGTATTGTATAAAAAAATTTTTATTAATACATGCAAAAAATAAATAAAATTTTCAGGATATAGTCCTTTTTATTTTCCTTGATTCCTCTAAAGCTTTTATCAGCTTTTGCGTTTCTTCTAATAATCATAAAATATGACTAAAGACTTTTTCCGTTATGTCTTTCATACTCTCATCTTCATATGTAACAAACAAAGGCTTTGACAGCTTAAACATTCTATAAAATACCATTTTTTCACATCTGTTACAATCTCTCATACTTTATTTATATTATATTCATTATCTATTTCATTCACTTTATGCTTGCGAGAAAAAGAAGATTCTATCTGTATAGTAGCTTAAACAAAGCCTTACCTAAAGTCATCTTTTTTGACTTTAATCAAGCTAATTATTCTTCATGTTGTATATAATCCAATACCGTAATCAAGATTTTTGCGTCCGTTTTTACCTTTGACTAACTTTTCAGGTACTATTTTTATTTGGCTTTTAAATAGGTAAGTTGCTGAAGCAAAAAAGAAATAGGAATAAATGCTTTTTGTGATCTCATAAGATATGTCAATGGGGGTTGTTATGATATAAGTTTCCAATTCATCAAAAAGTTTACGCAACGCTTCTTTATACTTTTCTCCTTAGTACTAGCATTACTATAATTGAAAATGAGATAGACATCAATACTAGGATTTGGGTTATTGCTAAGCCTGTACAGTTCGCATACTTTTGAGAAAGTCTATTCGTTAAATAGTTTTGAAAAAATCTCAATGAGGATAATAAACTTGAAGTTCTTTTTTATCACTAACGTCTACAACATCTCCTAGAATATGACATCATTTTTAAGATAATATCTATCCTTATCATTAATGAAGTTTAACACTACCCATCTAAAGGTTTAGGCAAAACCTGATAATTACACCTGATCTGAATCCGAAATCTAAGTGATATTAGTTACGCCTTAACAAAAAATTTCTGAAATATCTGATTAAGTCCAATACTGTCTAAATCTGAAATTCAATCTGAATTAATTGAAATTCTCTAAAACTTAATTATTCACGTGAAAATCAAATATATAACATTATTGGTAAGACAAACATTAATGCATTTACGTCTTACAAAATGAAGGCTAATTCAAGTATTTCAACTGATGATACTTCATTGCCTAAACGAAAAATTAGTGAAAAATCTAAATCAATAGTTTGGAAAACATACAGTGGCTTTCAAAAAAAACACATCACTATACTGCTTATTACTAGTCACATGTTTTACGATCAACAATAAATTTGTTTTAATTTAATATTTTTTAAAT